ATAGTGGTATTCACTGGACTTCCTTGTATGCGTATAGATATTATCCTGTCACTGACAATATTGTACTTCAAGATAGATCTAGAAATGGCTTTTTTAACTATGAAAGCAACTCCATTTTTCCTCACTTTTTCATCTCCATAGTACATAACAACAACAATAAAATTATGCATAATACAATTTCATAATACTTAGCTATCTTTTCAGGAACACTGGTGTCATAGGGTAAAATATGTTGGGCTGTTGTTGTTATTGTTGTTGTTAAGTGCCATTGAGTCATAGGCAACTCACAGGTACCCTATAAACGAAAGTCCTCAGCACTTGAGTGACTTTCATCCTTTCTCCAGGTTCATAGGGTTTTCAGAGGCAAGCTGTGTACGAAAGTGGATGCCACGCCTGCTTCCAAGCTTGTTTTAATCAGGGAGCTCCACCAAATACTCTCTACCATGGGTAGCCATTATCACTTTGGACACATCAGTGTCACAGTGTTCAGCTTCAGAGAAACCATGAATTACCTCTGTACAACAGTATTCAGGTAATCTGAATCCACCATTCACTTAGAGGGAGAAAGATGAGCAATCTCCGTTCATAAAGATTTACAGTCTTGGAAACATAATTGAGTATTACTGTGAGTCAGAACCAACTCATTGTCCATGGGGCAGGTTGATTTGAGCAATCTCTTAAAGTTATACTTTATCAAAGGCATGAAATAGCTGGTTTACATGCTATCATGAATAGAGTTATTAGTAAATTGACTGTAAAGCAGGGAAACACAATATACATAAACAAAATACAATGTAAAGGAAAGATTGTATAAAACACAATGTACACACATGAAACATAATATGTATTAATGATAAAAACATTCACTAAAACGGAAAAGGAGAATAAATAATTCTCACTCAATTTCTTAAAAGTGCATAAAAGTAAATAAAGTACCTTATTGAAATAAATTATTCTCTTAGCGGCAGCATCAGGATGGATGGTGAAGAGATTGAGATTGTACACAGCTTTAGTTCACTTGGCTCCACAGTCAACAAGCTTGGCACCAGCAGCCAGGAAATTAAAAGGCACATTGCCATGGGAAAGTCTGCTGTTAGGGACCTCTCCAAAGTACTGAAGAGCAATGGTGTCTCTCTGGAGACTAAGGTGTGTCTGATACAGGCCATGGTCTTTGCAATCACCTGTTATGCATCAGAGAGTTGGACAATGACCAAGGAGGATAGAAGGAGAATTGATGCCTTTGAGCTGTGGTGCTGGAGAAGAGTATTGAGAATACCATGGACTGCTAGGAAAACAAACAGATTTGTCCCGGAAAGGGTTAAACCGGGTGGCTCCTTGGAGGCAAGGATTCTGAGGCTCCTTCTAACATACTTTGGACATGTTGTGAGGAGAGACCGGTCCTTGGAGAAGGACATCATGCTTGGGAGGGTGGAGGGACGGCGCAGGAGGGGTAGGTCCTCTATGAGGTGGATTGATTCAGTGACTGGGCTAATCGGGATGGGAGTGTCAGAGACAGTGCGATTGGCACAGGACAGAGCAGAGTTTAGGTCTGTTGTACATAGGGTCGCTATGAGTCGCAAGCGACTTGACGGCACATAACAACAACAACTTAGCGTTATTTACTCACTGCAAGTCATTCATACTAAGACACTTTTACAAATAGTGATATAAAAAATACAAACAAGGTTAGTGATCAAAACTTTTCCGTCTAGCACACTTCACATCCTGTCATACATTAAGGAACTGCCCAGGAAAATAGTTTTAATGCCTTTATTTGAATGTGGTCACAGGCACCTGAAGGATTCTCATCTGGAAAGGCAAGTCCACTCCAGGATAGGTTCAAATGAAAGAATAAAAGACTACGTGAACCAGGTGAGGTTTTTCTGGCACTTTACATTATCATTCCTGATCCTTTAAACTTCCATAAACCCATAAGCTTTCCAGAGCAACTTGTCATTTCCTTCTATGAGAGGAGGCAGAGTGTATCTGACACCAGCTTTTCTTTGGCCTTAGCCAAGATGACCTGCTTTGGCCAATGGCACATGAGTATAAAAGACACAATGGCATTTCTAGGTCTGTGTTATAAGCAACTTTGGGTATTTTTATTTGTTCTATTCCATGCCTGTTTTCCCATCAGCTTGGGCCCCAGCATAAATATTCAGGAAGTAGGTTCTCTTAGCCAAGGCCAGCTGGACAGGAAACTTGGAGAGTAGCCACCTAACTGGTCTCTCAACTCTATCTGCAGTCAAGTTGGAACCAACTCATAGCTGACTCTATGGTGGGATTCCAGAGGATGTAATTCACACCAGTGGAGATTTACCCTCTTCCTCCTGTGGAGATGCTGGTAGATTCAATCTACCAGAGAGAGACCACCTTTGGGTTGGCAATGCAACTCCCTACACACCAGGCCACCAGAAATCCCTGCTTAGCTGGTATCAAGCCTAAATCTAGAGACCTACAATTCATCCAATATCTACAAGCTAAATTTACTGAGTTTCAGGTATTGTTCCAATAGGTGGAATAGCTGATATAATTATCTACTTTGGTGTGAATCTTTAATTGAAGATTGCTAATAATACCCAACATGGCTTATAGATAAAATTCCCTAAAAACATTATTCCCAAACATTTTAATCTAAGGTTAAGTCCCCATCTAAAATGCACACTGGTGCATTTAGTTCTGCTCTCAAGTGCCATTTTCCCAGAAATAATTGTGCTGAAATCAGTCAAAGCCTTTTCCACTTCTTCCCTAAAAGGTTCGAGGCTCAACTTAAAGAGTGTTTTGTGTGAAGGCTGAAGACCAAACACAGCTACAAATTTGGAGGAAGTGAAGGCAGCGTTTGGCGTGTGGCCTCTGAATGCTTGGCAGGTAATATGATTTTCCCCTTTTCCTTTTGACTTTTCTGCCTTGCCAAACATGCTTTGGATCCATTTACATATGTCCCTTTACCTATACATAGTCCTCTTTTTACATTCAGTAAATTACATCAACATATAAATGCTACAATTTCCACGTAATGATGCAAGCTGTAATTAAGTGTATTTCCCCACATGAAACCAGAACCAAAGAAAAATATTAGCAGGCTTGGGTTCAATACACATTTTCAAAGTCACACAAATCAAGTCTCTTCAGGTTGTTTCCAGTGCTTAACCAGGTTGAACAGTGAACTAATAAAAGTACTTAAAATGTGAATCTTGTGTTATAAACAAGAGTCTAGATGTGTTTCAAGGGTCTGTGGAAACCAATGTCCTATCTGTGGCTGAGCATTTCTAGCCTCCTTCTTTTCTGATTGTAAAGATAGTTTTACTAGGCACACCTTTTTTACACAAAGTAATGCTCGGTTCAGTTTAAATAAACAAATAGAGTAGTACAAACCCATATTTTGCAACCTAATCACGTTTCCTTCATGGTAGCTTTCTACCTTTCACTGAGACCATTCATATTCTTCACTTAATGACTCTTCTGACACGTGATTGTAGATGTAAATTGAGTAGGGAAAATCTTGTCAGACTCCAGTGTGATGTTCCTAACTCACCCATCCTCTCATGGATTTATCATTTTATTTTCAGGATGCTATGCTGTTCATTTTAAGGGATTTGAAAAGAACCCCACAGAAGCCTGACGGTTTCCTCATTCACATTCTTATTCAAATCACCCTTCAAAAACTCTACTTATCAGGAGCTCTTACCTGCTATTATACCTAATTGGGGAAAGACATCATGCTTTGAAAAATACAGGGCCAGTGAATGAAAGGAAGACCTTCAGCAACATGGATTGACACAGTGAGGGCAGCAATGCATTTGAGCAGAGGTTGTGAAGGCGGCCCAGGGGGTCTAACCCACTGTGAGTAGCAGTTAACTTGATGACACCTAACAATAACAGCATAGCATCCATTGTTATACTACACATTTGGAATACTTTAGGCATGGAATCCTTTGCTGAACTAAAGCTGTTGTTGATCTGTGCTGTCAGATCAGGACCAGCTCACAGTTGAACCTAAAGTGCATTTTCAGAGGCTATAAATCACATACATGGGAGAAGATTGCTCATCTTTCTTTCCCAGAGCAGCTGGCAGCTTTGAACCACCTACCTTTGGGTTAGCAGTGTATCTTCTTACCCACTATGCCACCAGAACTCCCTCAAATCAAAGTAATTGAACATAAATAAAAGCAGTAATAATTGGAGTTGTCTTAAATGCTACAGTGGAACAAAACCAGACCATAGTCTAAAATTCTTCATTATGTTCTCTAACCTACCCCAAGCACCACACTTCACCAGAGAGATAGCTTTGGGAACCTCTGCTGGTTGTTTGCAAAAAATAGCTGCGATCATTTCTCTTTTTTTATTTTTTGCATTCTATCACTTCAGGTTTTCCTATTATTCCCAAGAGTAAGAAGGTCAGGAGGGCTGTACTTATTGGTCTTATGCCTGGCTTCCAACAACAGAAGGTGAGACAGTCTCAGTGTGCCAGTTCTATGTGAGATCTTAAGAAGCATTGGCCACTTCTACCCACTAAGAAACTATCTAGTGAGAGTAAATCCAATTGCCA